CCACCTGACACTATATTATTTCATTCATATGGAGAAAGGGGGAATAAGAAATGAAAAAAAACTGCAATCCACTTTAAAAAAGCACATTTTTTGGGCCATTCCTACATTTGTCTGTAGTAAGCATTTTTACCCTGAGCAAATCCTTAATGGACATATTTGAGAAAAAAGTAACAGTCACGGGGGGTTACTTACTAAACTAGAGAGTGCAAAATATGGTGCAGCAATGCATAGAAACCAATCAGCTTCCAGGTTTCCACTTTTGTATCCCTGTAATTCGAAAAGGTATATATTTTTATAGGGTTCTTATTCCTATAGATCAGAGGTCTTCAAACTTTCTAAACAAAGGGCCAGTTTACTGTCCTTCAGAATTTGTGGGGGCCAGACTGTGCCCAGAGTGGGTAGACAATGCCCTGACGTCAATGGGAGTAAAAAATATCCCATCACTGGTGTTAGTGGGAGGAATATTGCCAAATTGTTAAAATCAGGGGAAGGAATCATGCCCAATCATTGATGTCCATGGTAAAAATAGCACCCTGCTATTGGTGTCAGTGGGAGGAATAATGCCTCATCGTTGGTGTCAGTGGGAGGAATAGTGCCCCATTGTTGGGGTCAGTGGAAGGAATATTACCCCATTGTTGGTATCGGTGACAAGAATTATGCACCAGTGTTGGTGTCAGTGGGAGGAATAGAGCCCCATTGTTGGGGTCAGTGTTAGGAATAGTGCCCCATTGTTGTTATCAGTGACAGGAATTATGCCCCATTGTTGGACTCTGTGGGAGGAATAGTGCCTTGTATCAGTGGTAGGAATGGTGCCCCAAGGGCCGGATAAAAGCAAACAGAGGGCCACAGTTTGGAGACCACTGCTGTAGATGTTTGCACTTATGTTCCCATACCCTTTGCAAGCTGTCTGTTAGAACATGCTTCGAATTAAAAATGGAACCATGCAACGTCTGCAAATGCAACAGCTCCAAATTAATCTTTGTACTGTTTTTGTGGCATGAACTTTTCTTTTAGAACATGATGCTTTATTAGTCATGCATGTAAACGTAACATCTAATCTTAAAGTCTCAAGTCAAAACTTTTTTTACTTTTTTTTTTTATAGGGAAAGATTAGAACCTCTGTCAAGTTTTTGGTGCTCTCCATGGTTTCTTTTTGTCCTTTAGACAACAGTTTCTCAAGACATGAAGTGAGAAATATTTGCCACTGGGACACAGCAATAAAAAAAGATTGTAATTGTAGCATTTCCCTACTAAAGAAAAGCAATTTGTTTGCTGTGTCACTGTTGCAGAATTTCCCTCACTTTCTGTCTGGCGAGACTGTTGTCAGCAGGACAGAGGGGGAGTCTCTTTAACAATGCCCCTGATACCATTAAAACCTGACAAGGATTAGCAGAGTGCATTCAATGCCCTGTGCAGTGGTCAAAGATGTTTGTTTACCTTTTTTCTTTTTACTGCCACCAAGGCTTTTTTTTCAGCTGGAACATGGGGGAACACAGTTCTGGCACCTCCAGCACTGAACATGTGATGTAATGGCAAGGGGTGCAGAGGTGTGCTGGAGGATCTACTGATGCTGGCAACTAGAGGATCTATTGTTGCCAGGAGGTCGGTTGGTGCTGGGAGGGATCTATGGTTGAGGGAGGGGTCTACTGTTGTTGGCTGCTGGAGGGTCTATTGATGCTAGCTGCTGGGACATCTATTGTTGCTGGGAGGGTCTATTGTTGCTATGGTGGATCTGTTGTTGCTGGTGAGTGTATTTTATTGTGGGGAGTCTATTGTTGCTGGGGGGATCTATTGTTGAAAGTGGGGTGTATTGTTGATGGCTGTAGGGAATCGATTTTACGACTTAGCATTAAAAAAATGACATACAAAATACTTAGCACCAAAATATGATACTTGGTTCTTTATTCTTTAAAAGAGGCCTTACTGGGAGGTGGACAGGGGGTAGAACAAATGGATGGTGCTCGAAGGTGGGTAGGGGTCGGAAATAAGGGGTGACTCATAGAGAGAGTTCCTGCACCTAATCTCTGAGACAAAAAGCCCTGACTACCACTGAACTGTGTTCAAGCAGCCTATAGAAAGTCAACGGTATGCATTAGTTGTATGGACTTACCTGCACAACCAGGTCTGATGGGTGCCTGGCCCTGGATGCTCAGGCTCTGTGCCGTAGCCTGCACACCCACCCCTGCGTAACTGCAAAACTCTGTATAATTAATCTGCACCATATCCTTTCTATGCGTTGCCTTACGCAGCTTAGTAGCAATAAATAAAGAGTTAAAAATGGGCTCTGGCTGCTGCATGTTACTGAGCGTCTGTGTGACTGAGCCCTAATACTTCCCCACTCTATCCAAAACTAAAGAAAAAAGTTTTTGGATAGACAAGCACTTAAAATTTAAGTGGATGGGGATTGACAGTTGTTGAACAATAGTTTGAAAAAATAGATATGTTTTGTGATGAAACAAGTACCTGAGATGTCTGTGAATAACCTATTGCCCCAATTCCAAAAAGGTTGGGACGCTGTGTAAAATCCATATAAAAACAGAATGTAATGATTTGTAAATCTCATAAACCCATACTTTATTCACAATAGAAAGGAGAAAACATATCAAATGTTTAAAAGATGTAGATTTAGATGTGGATTTACATAAAGTTTTATGTAGATTTTACACAGCGTCCCGACTTTTTGGAATTGGGGGGGATGTAGAAAACTGAACTGGTAGATCAGATAGATTTTAAACATTTAAGTGGAACTCTGCCCAAAACTTTTTTCCTGTTAGCCCCCTTTCATACTTGAGAGTTTTATAGCTGGTTTCCCCATACCTGATTATGCTCCACATGAGGAATCCCATTCTTTCTAATTGTCTCTTTTCATACTTGTATGCTCAGTTGCCCTGTGCTCTACACCTCATGCTCACATGAGTACATGAATATTTTTGAGTGTATTCAGGTATTTTTGAATACATAGATGACTTCAGTGGGTACACCTGTAAACACTTGAGGTGCAAAGGTTCTTATCCTACAATTTCTCCTCACGCTGGACTACAGAACATCTCCCCCTTAATAGGAATGATAAAAGAGATGTTTTCTGTAGTCTGACAAGGGAGTACTTGGGCAGGGATGACTGTTTTGGAATTCAGTGCAGCAGAGAGAGAGTTATCAGCTGACTACAGGAAGTTGGGAGCACAATGATTTTCTTGCAGGATCAGCAGGTATTTTTTGCACAGATATAACAAAATGCTTTCAATAGTATATTTAACTTAAGTTTATTGCTGGGGTTTATATATACGTTAATAATAATACTAAGTGTTTTAATATTTCTTTGATTGGTCTCATTTAAATTTTGTGTTCATACAGGAAAAGGCCAGAGTGGTAGAACCTTTGGACTATGAAACGGTCATTTCCCAGAGAAAAGCTCAGATCTTCAGCGATCCCCATCGAGATATGCTCATGTTCCCTATGGAAGATGTGTTTGTGAGTATTCTGCACTATACAGTATGCACAGTATGTGTTGGTTCTCTGTTTTTCTCTTTGGTAACACCATGGATGTTTCGCATTTGCTTTTATACAGATTTCCACAGTAGATCGACAACACAGAACCGTGAAATCATCAGTACCAGAAGATGCAGAAACTAAAGCCAAGAGCCTGTTTGTGAAGGAGGTATGTGAACAGGAGAATAAACTCATGTTGTATAACAGATTCCCCTTTTATTCGTTTAATTAAAGGATACTAGTGATTGATTGCTGTATTCTGACGTATCTTCGGTTGCATGTTGACTTACTGAATAAAGGCTGCTGTTTTATAATCATTAATTGGAGTAGTTTTGAAGCATTTTAAAGTGTGGGAGATGTAATCCAGGGAAAAGGGTGGGGCAGGAAGGGCAGTTGACTTAGGCACAGTGTGTATGTGTGTGTTTGGGGGGAGGGCCCTTAGTGGGCTGTGCTTTCCTCATCCTATGGGTGCTGTTCTTCATTGCTCCATAGATATTCACAATCAGCACAAAGAGAGTGGCAGAGAATACATAGCTAGAAGGTCCCATAATGTCACTGGCCATTTCTGGGTCCACTTGAAACCTGATGGGTGGACCTAAAGCTGAGCAATGACACTGAGTTGGTAGGAACTAGAAGTGGGATCCCAACTGCAGAAGATGATCAAGTGCATACATCACAGAGGAGAGGGATGCAGTTTAGCATCTTTACCCTGGACACTGGATGACCTTGTCCTGACATTGGTGTGGTTTCACTTTGTGGGAGAAACCAAGTTGTAAATACAAGGTATTGGTAGGTGATGTCATATGCTGGATGCTAACTCCAGGCCTTCAGGACAGATAGCAATATGGTGGACTGGGAATGCCCAGAGTCATTTCTGAATTACAAAAGGCATAGTGCTCCCAGGACCCTACATTTTTGGCAACTGTGAACATTTTGATAATGTATGGTCTGATGTACTAAAACAGCACATGGATGAAAAGAGAAATACCATTTGCAGGTAAACTGTGCTCACAGTATGTATCTCAAGCTTACGTTTCATTTTTAAATAGTGTATAACTTTAACCACTAGCCTACAGGGCACTTATACCCCCTTCCTGCCCAGGCCAATTTCCAGCTTTCAGTGTTGCCACAATTTGAATGACAATTGCGCAGTCATACAACACTGTACCCATATGACATTTTTATCATTTTTTTGTGACAGATAGAGCTTTATTTTCGTGGTATTTAATCACCTCTGGGTTTTTTATTTTTTCTTAAACAAACCAAAAACCACTGAAAATTTTGAAAAAAAATGTTTTTTCTTAGTTTTTGTTATACAATTTTGTAAATAAGTGATTTTTCTCCTTCACTGATATGCGCTAATGAGGCTGCACTGATGGGCACTGATAGGCTGCACTGATGGACACTGATAGGTGGCACTGATGGGCACTGATGAGGAGGCACTGGTAGGTGGCACTGATGGACATTGACAGGCATCACTGATGGGCACTGAAAGGCAGCACTGATACATGGCACTGATATATGGCACTGATATATATGGCACTGATAGGCGTCACTGACTGGCACTAATAGGCGGCACTGACTGGCACTGTTAGGCGGCACTGACTAGCACTGATAGGCGGCACTGATGCGCACTGATAGGCAGCACTGACTGGCACTGATAGGCGGCACTGACTGGCACTGATAGGTGGCACAGATTGGACATTGATAGGTGGCACTGACTGGCACTGATGGGTGACACTGAAAGGCAGCTCAGATGGCCACTGATATGTGGCATTGATGTGGCACTGGCACAAGGCACTGATGAGCACTGACATAAGGCACTGATGAACTTTGACAGGTGGCACTGCTGGGGCTACACTGATCATCAGGGCACACTGATCATAAGTGCCCTGATGCTCAGTGTATATGTCCCCTCCGCGGAAAGCCGATTACCGGCTCTCCTCCACTCTCGAGCTGTCAGCGTGACAGCTCAAGAGGAGAGAAATGGCGATAACCGACATTTCCCTGTTTACATGTGATCAGCTGTGATTGGAAACAGCTGATCACATGACCGAGCCGACATCTTCGGCTCTTTCCGTGATCGGTGATCCGCTGTGTCCGAGGGCCACAGCGCACCGCCGATCACCACGCTCCGCGCTCCCTGAGCCGCGCATGCGCAGTGAAAATGGGAGGACGTTATATGACGTCCTCCCAGAACGAGAGAACCACCTTGCGCTCGTCATATTACTATATGGTGGGCGGGAGGTGGTTAAAGAGTAACTGAACTCTGGAAGCTGTGCCCAATTAGAGGACAGGTCAGAGGGACAAAGACTAGTCACTAGTATTGCCTATGATCTCCCTGCAGCTGATCTTCTCTCCATTGATGATTTACCTTGCCTTGTTCCATGGTGTGTGGAGGTGGCCATCTTGGTAGAGGCAGGGCTTTGCTTCGTCATGTCAGATCCTCCAGCAAACAGAACGGTGAGCACATTAGTGATACACTTCAAGTCTTACTCCATCTCTCCTGAGATCAGCAGTCAGAGCCAGCAGTACCTATGATCTCACACTGTAGATATACTCTTCATTTATCAGCCATGGGGTATTCAGAAAAATGTGCTTACGTTTGGCAGCCCAGTCTAAATGCATCTGGCTTTGCCCTTGTGGCTAAATAACAATAGCCCCAGAGAAGAGACAAATGAGTCTTTAGTTCTTCATTACCCAGAGGTCATCTGTTGAAGGATACTCTCTTTTCAAACTACTAACTGGGAATACCACTGTTTAGTTCTGATCATTAATGAGGCATATAGCAGCTTCAATAAACCTGTTCTTGATAAGTTAGGAGGAAACAAAACTAAGTACTGAAGAACACATTACCTCTACAATAATTTCTATTTAATAATTATCTTTTCAGTTGAAAAGTGGAATCTCTTTTCAGTGTCCTTAATAAAAACCTTTTTAGCATTTAGGATTTTTTTAAAGTCTGCATCTATGTTCCTGTGCTGTAAAGTAGTCATTAGTCTGATGTGATTGTGAGAGAGTGTTTAGTTTCCCTTTATGGTTTCACTACATAATTATTGCATGTTTTTAGTGCATAAAGTACTACAGCTCGGACTGGAAAGTGGTGAACTACAAATTTGAGGAGTACTCAGGGGACTTTCGAGCTTTGCCCTGGTGAGTTCTGTTGTATGAACACAATGAAAATGCTGTAAAAGACTGGATAAAATCTCAGGCATTCATAATTCTGATATTTATATATTTCAGTATCTTTAACCCCTTCGCACCCCCTCCTGGCAGCCCATTAAGTGGGTCTTAGTGCCAGAAGGCAGAATGGACTTCCCAGTCTTGTGATCAATGTAATTGGCTGTCAATGTGATTGGCTATCTTTTGATGTAAAGGTTTGGGGAAAAGCTCAGACATTCATAATTCTGATATTTATATATTTCAGTATCTTTAACCCCTTCCCACACCCTCCTGGCAGCCCATTAAGTGGGTATTAGGGCCAGAAGGCGGAATGGACTTCCCAGTCTTGTGATCAATGTACTTGGCTGTCAATTTGATTGGCTGTCTTTTGATGTCAAAGTTTGGGTAAAAGCTCAGACATTTATAATTCTGATATTTATATATTTCAGTATCTCTAACCCCTTCCCACTTCCCATCCCATCCTGGCAGCCCTTTAAGTGGGTTTTAATGCCAGGAGGTGGAATGGGCTTCTCAATCATGCGATCAATGTCACTGGCTGTCACAGTGGTCACATGATTGGGAATCTATCCTGCCAGCTCTTGATCATAAACAGAGACCGGGAGCTGTCTGTGATAGCTTGATCACTGTGCTGGGAGTGTGCAGTGCACACCCTCTGAGCACAGAAACCTTGATCCCTGTGGACATGTGTGCAGCTAAGGCCCACCCTTCCTGCTGCCATACATATGAATTAGGTGATCAGCAAAAGATTATTTTATTAAATGTCTAGGAAAATGTGGAATAGTCACAAACATTATGAAAATGTGAACACAATACATTTAGACTAATTGAACATTTAAATATTGTTCAGAAAATGTATTACAGGTAAAAAATGTGAAAAAATTCCTTTAAGAGACGTACAAAAATTGGCAAATCCATATTGCTTTGCTCTTTACTGTTATACAGATACGGTAATATATTCATATTTATTTATTTATTTTTTAGCAAATCCTTTCGGCCAGAGAAGACTCCCAGCCATTTATATGAGATTGATGAGGACTTTGACAAAGATGAGGTAAGTAGTAGAGATATACATTAAGTGCTCTTATCCCTAATGGTCACAATAGTGAGAGGTTGTTATTTCAGGATACAGTAGATCTGCTTTATGGGACATATCTCAAGTTTTCACTGTACTTCTATATGTGTAATAGAAAAGTTTTATTTTATATAAATAATAATAATGCATTTCATCTTGTGATTGCTCTGCAGGATTCTGCATCAGTATGCTCTCAAAAAGGAGGAGTAATTAAACAAGGCTGGCTTTACAAAGCAAATATAGGGACTACAATCCCTGTCACTATGAAGGTAAGCATTCTGACATCTTATGTTTTTGATATTCTAAGCCCAAGCAAGTGGTATTAATCAACAGAAGAAGAAGCAAGTCCTGTTAATGTCAAAATTGTATAACTAGCCTGACAAAGAAGCCCTTTGCCTTAACAGATTGAAATAGTCTTCATTATAATCAGCCATTAAAGTTATTATTAGTTTTGACTCATAAAGGTGCTAAACTCTCACTATAAATTGAATCTGTGTTTTGCCAATACTTATATTAATATTATTATAATACAGGATTTATATATTGCCAACAGTTTGCACAGCAATTTACAATATGTAGCCCAGTCTGCAGAGCTGAGATAAGAGGATCGGCTGCATGGACTTGGCTGTCAGTTTTCACTGTCTCTGCTGCCGTTCCTGCATGAGCTTACAGGGGGACAGGGATAGCTGTGAAGAGGAGACTTTTATTACAGGCTTTGTGGAGCCTGTTTAAGCCCACCTACCACACAGGAAGAGGATGTGGACTGCATGAACTGCTGTGAATGCTGGGGGGATTGTGGGAGACATAGTTCCATACAGACTAAGCCTGCTTTATGGACTGGGCAGAGGAACTATATTTCACAGGTTTCACTGGAGCTCTGTAGGGTGGAAAAATGTAATGTTTGTTTCAGGGTTAAGAGAGATGCAAGGAGGACATCCTGAGAGGCAGACTGTGTATCAGGCTGCTCACCCGCCACATCTGGGACAGGGAGAGGCACAGCTGCAGACATTCCCTAGTACTGGCAAACACTACTGTCACTGACTGAGCCCACTGCCTGAATGTTGGGAAGAATGCTGAGGATGCTGACTTTGACCCAATGCTAACACAGAACAGAAAAAGATCAGCTGCCACCACAGGACTCAGTGAGAGGTCACTGGCCAACCTCCCACTACACCTTGATAAAAAGAAAATACTTGTAAGAACTTTATGCTGAATGCACCAACAGCAAATGTGGGCCCCAGAGTGCTGGCCAGCGGTGAAAGTGGTGTAATTTAGAATGCGGGACTGTTATTATGGTACTACCCCCTTTAGGCAGGATTGCCCATAGTATTGGGTTTATAGGTTACTCTCTGGTCCCATTTATTTATTATTGACAATATATTTTCTTTGCCATTGTTCTATTGTGCAGTTACTACTGTTTCTACTCCTTTGGCCATTGGCTATCCTGTTTAGGCCTTCATTTACTACATTAAAGGAAAACTAAGTCAAATTTAGAATTTTATATTGTGTGTACCCTGCAAAATCTCAGCTAGGAGAACACAGAATTGCAGATGTGAAGGGAAGAGGAATTATGCTTTTTTCTGTAATGAATGTAATGCGAATGAACAGCTGGTAAATTATAGGAGATATCCCCATGGGCCAAGGGATAATTGTACTGTCTGTACTCCCAGAATAATAATGCACCTGTGATATGTGATATACAAAACTCAGAGGAGCAAGGCCTAACGGAGTGCTATACAACAACACACATATCATGTTTTCTTTGGATGCTGCCTTATGTGCATTTGAATGATAAAGGTCTTGCATACAAGATTCCTCTCTTTTATGAACAGGCTTATTGAATGATTATTTTGACAACATTTGATAGCAAAACTCTGTGTAAGCAAGCTTTTATACAGAGCTTATTATTATAATCTATCAATCAAGAAGGAGGATGGATGTACAGTATATTTGTCATGTTTGAGAGTCCTTAAAGTATATATTTATGTATTTTAAGTTTTGGATGGAGAATGGAAGGGTTAAAACTCCTCTCTGTTTATTTTTTCTCAGTCTATGTCCTGTTTGGGAAATTTCCCTTTACTTCCTGTCCTGGAGCTGCAGCGGGGAGTAAGAGAAAATCTCTACTAAGTTGAGATAAATACCCATGTTAGACAGGAGGGATTCCTGGATTCAGTCCAAACCCATGTTCATGCCAAATGTTGCTTGTTCAGAGGTTCAGCGAAGGCCAAACTAAATGGGTATTCAACTGAGCTGAACCTCCGGCTGTAGGGGTATTATTACCGGTGGCCGCCAGCATCCTAACAACCAGTAACGTATCCTCGCCCGACCCATTTTGCTGCTAGATGGGAATTCAGCTGGATCCCAGATGGGGTTCAGTTTGGATTCAACATCCAAACTGCAATAAAGTTTGCTGAACCCACCCTGATCTGAACCCAAGTATCTTTGGCTTATCACTATTAGACAGTTGTCACTGAAACAGGTGTCTTTATTGGAAGATTCACCCTCACATGTTCTAGAGATAACATTTCAACTTTGCCTTTACTTTCTGTCGCCCAAGGATTAATAGAGAGGGTGATGCTCCCCACCAGGGACACGGCTAGCAATGAAAATCTGAGACTGCTTCTCCCCCTTTCCTATTCCACCCACAAAAATAAAAAATCACTTAAGTTCCCACTTTAGGACCCTTCCCTGTGCACTATATGTATTGAAGGTGCTGTGAAAGGTGTAGAGCCCAGCTCCATTGAAAGTGTTTTATTTTGTTTTGGAAAGGGTGGAGAAGTCTAAGACCCC